TCGGTCCATCTGCATTGCACGCCAAGCACATCGGGAGATTTCAGTTCTACTAACTACTACTGAAAAGGATAGTTTGCTGCAAAAGATTCAGACCTCATTAACTGCTTGAGAATAATTACAGGCTGCTACCGTGCCACGAGTCGTCAACGTCGACGTAAGCGACGTTTTCGACTAGTTCGCGAAGATTATATACGTATCGATCCGACGTAACGGACGAAACCGACGTAAACGACGTAAGTGACGTAACCGACGTTTTCGACGTCAGTCGATACGTATCTAATCTTCTGTCGTCGGTTACGTCGGTTACGTCGGTTACGTCGCTTACGTCGGTTTCGTCCGTTACGTCGGATCGATACGTATACAATCTTCGCGAACTAGTCGAAAACGTCGGTTACGTCGCTTTCGTCGGTTACGTCGACGTTGACGACGCCGTCGCACGGTATGAACGCAGCCTTAACACACGCTGTTCTTTGTGTGGTTGTGTTTGTCTTTGCGCACACTAGTACAGATACAGCAGGACCCAAAACCTAAGGTATCAGTATCCGAAAATCCTTTTAGGGCGCAGTTTCACGACGGAGGGGGGGGGGAGAACATTTTGCACTTTCGCTACTTCCCATCGACGTGTCGAGCCTATCAAGTGGAGACCTGTGAAATCTTGTGAAGCCACGAAATGATACCAGCCTAAGTTTGTGGAGACCACCCGTCCACTCTTGTAAAGCACGAAATACCATGAACAGTATTCACCACAGCGGCTCGACAAGCTTGTTCCAGCTTCTACAAGAGTTCACAGGTTTCACCAGAGTGAGACTTGTAAACCGGAACTAGTGAAGCAGCGAAAGTGCAAAATGCACCCCCACCCCACCTCGTTGAACGCGCCTCATTTTTATTACAAACGACCAGGAAACGAGTACTACACGCTTAGTTCCGAGTAGAGAGACAGGCGTCAGCGTGGTTTAGGAGAGGAGTCCTCAATGTCGTTTCTCCTTTCTAAGGCATAAGCTGACAGCAGGAAGATTAAATTTCGTAGAACAGACATAGTGAGGCGTTTTAGTGGCAGTAGCTTAGTTCATGAGGAGCGCGCCCAGTCTCATGTTATTCCTGAACTAAGGTGGGGCAGGGCTGCGAAAACCGCTTGTTGCACATGGAACCAGTTTAACGGGCAATACAGTCATGAGGGACAACCATTTCTGAGCACCTGCGAAGCTAAATTGATCCTGAGACCCGGGAGCTTCTGGGCTGTGGGGAAAAATTTTTACCTTCCTCGCAACCGGTTTTTCGTGCCTACCTACACAGAACTAAACAAAGAAGAATAAGCGTGGAAATGAAATCCGCAACATTGCGGAGCTCCACAAGTTTATAAGTTCCACAGAATGGTGCGCATGTTGACAGGAATTAACTACAAGCCCCGAAGGGTATCGGAAAGTTTTCGAGCTGAACCGTAAAATGTGAAAGCAAGGCGTTAGCGCCAACTCGCACGAGAAAAGACCAGTCAGTTCTGCTCGTGAACAGCAAAAAAATGCCAAAGTCGGGGACACCGGTTGGCCAATGATAAAGAAAGAGCATCATTCTGAAAAACACTCGGAAAACCAAGAAGTCATTGAGATGACCGTGGAACACTCTCCAATGTTCGAAACGATACGAATATTTAAATAAGCGGTGGAATCCCGCGTTTTCGAAACTGACAAAGCAGCTCGTCCAGTTTGCGTCGCTTTCCATAGCGCACAGCGCTTGCAACACGATGAGCTCGTCGCGTGCAATCCAGCGGACGAGATCGCTTTGATCGCGCTTAAAGGTCGCACATACAGTAACATTTAGTCATCCCGAACCTTTAAGCAGACTTGTGGCTTCGAACGGTTTCAACTTCTCTTTCTTCTGTCTGTCCTGCTTTCTACGTCGTATTTATTTCAACGTGAAGCAAGAAGAGTTATATCGGAAAGTACGGGTAAGGAGCTTGTGGTAGGCCAGTTCGTCATATGGTCTGTCACCTGTATATTATTTGCATCTTTGTGGTCTTTTTATTCCGCCAGCGAATTTGGATTACTGAAATATTTGTGCTTTCACCTGTGGAACAACACGTACGTGCTCCACCGAGGTTCCATTTCTTCTGTAAAGAATAAAGTGCATGCGGCCTGAGAAAGCAGTGAGAGGTGGAGCAACTACGCCTGCGCCTCGGTAGTGAAACCCGTCAGAACGTTCATACTTTGCGTCAGCGCTTGAGCTTACAGCAGCGTTTCGAGCAATCCACAGCAGTTCTGAATTTCTCGCGGTCAATCGCTGAAAAGCCGGCGTACGTTCGAAGCGTTAGGTCGATATTCATACTTTTCTAGTCGATCAAAACGCTGCAATACGTTTATAACGCTGACACAGAGCACTAGTGAGCAAAAAGGAGGCACCGCTATCTTTCCCTCGTCCAAGGCTCAGGGTTGGCAGAGCACAGGCGTTTGGGGTCAGCGCGGCACTGTTTCTCGGAACAGATATGGACATTCAGCGGCGTGCTCTAGCTTCGAGCTCCGTCAGGCTGCGTGCATAATTTTCGTCAGCGTGCACTAGCGCCAGCGACTAGAAAACTATGAATGTCGATCTGCGAACGTCAGCATTTTCGCGGGCAATTCGAGCAAAACTGCCCAGAAAACGCTCTTGGGTTGTGGTATACACTAGATCGAACCTATATTTTCCTAGTCGCTGGCGCCGACGTACGCTGCCGTACGCTATCGTACCCTGGCGTACGCTGACGCGAAGTATGAACGCACCCTCAGGTCGTGTTCATACCACGCGATGAATCGATATTTTACGGAAAGCGCGCCAAAGGAGTGAATGGGTATCTATCGGTACCTAGCGCTAGCAGCTCTCCTTTGCTGAGCGTAAATGCAGCTTCAGCGCTCTCCATTCCACATGCTACTCGGCAGCGGTTGAGCGCTGACGTATTTGGGAGGGGGATAGACAGCTCACCAGTGCCTTCATATCCCTTCCCGTAATCAGGCTTCGTCTCCCCTACTAGGCTTGGGCTTACTGGAGGCTATATCTCACGGGTCTATCTTTAGGCGACCCCACGCTGTAAGTGCATTATGTGTCGGAGCATTATTATCTGACGACCCAGTAGCCCTTTGTAGGGCTTTCAAGACTTATATTAGACCCCTGTTGGAATATGGAACAGTGGTCTTCAATCCATATAAAGCTCGAGCTATTAGATTGTTGGAAAGAATTCAGAATAGTTTCACTAGAAAGGTTTTTCTAAGATCTGTGGGATTCCACTATGATAGAATCCCTGACAGCAAAACGCGCAACATCAATCTCAATCTAGAGCCGCTGTCCCTTAGAAGGAGGAAATTTGATTTTATAACACTCTTTAAGATCTTTCATGGCTATTCGGGTATTAGGCCCTGCGCTTTGATGGAAATCCGTGAAACTACGACT